GTCAATTACAACCCATAGCACCCCTGTATAGGGTTTCCAAGGAGCAGGTGGTAAACTTGAACCACTGACCTTGAAGTTCCAACTGCTCTGCAGTCTGGTGCATTAACCCACAGCGCCACACTAGGACTCCAGGAAGTTTATTGGAACCCATCAAAAGATCAAGCAAATTGTCAGGGTACAAGACCAGCATACAAAAACATCAGTTGGATTCCTTTATACTAATAAAAAGAACTCTGAGAAGGAAATTAGGAAAGTATGTCATTTACAATAGCCATCCAAAGGATGAAATATTTAGGAATAAATCTAAGCAGAGAAACAAAAGATCTATACCAAGAAAGCTAAAAAACACTAGTAGAAGAAACCAAGAGACCTACACAAATGGAAGACTATATATAGCATGCTGACAGATAGGAGGGCTTAACATTGTGAAAACGTCAAAACTATCCCATACCAATCTATGGATATAATGCAATCCCAGTCCAGGTTCTAAGAACATTGTTTAAAAAGATGGAAAAACTCATCACCAATGTATTACGGAAAGGAAAGAGACCGTGGATGAGTAAAACATTACTTAAAAAGAAGAAACTAAGAGGCCTCTCACTTCCTGATCTCAAAAACTACTACAGAGCCACAAGAATGAAGATAGCACAATGAAAGACACACAGATCAGTGAAACAGAACCTACACTCGGTTGATCTTTGAAGAAGGACTGAATCACATTAAGTGGGGGAAGAGATCGTGTCCTCAATAAATAGTGTTGGAAACACTGGAAGCCCATTTGCAGAATGAAACAAGACTCACATCTCACACAGCGTAGAAAAATAAAGTCAACATGTATTAAAGACCTAAGTGTCAAACCTAGAATTATAAAGATCATCAAGGCAAAATTAAAGATCAAGTCAAGTGTCGTGATTTGTGGCATAAATGCACTATCAAGTATAACTCAAAACACACAAAACAGTAGACAAAATAGATGATGGAGCCTCCTAAAACTATAGACACTTTTATGCATGACACGGTCTCACCAACAGTATAAAAAGACAACCCACGTTGGGAAATTATTTTTGGCAATGGTTTATCAGACAAGGGACGACTGTCTAAAATTTATACGACACTTCAATGTCTCCATAAGAAGATAAATAATCCAATTACAAAATGGCAAGAGGCAAGGAGCTCTTGTAGCGTAGTGGTTACAAATCAGGCTGCGAACCGCAAGGTCAGCAGTTCGAAACTACCAGCTGTTTTTCAGGAGAAAGATGAGGCTTTCTGCTCCCTTAAAGATTTACAGCCTCAGAAACCCTGTTCAGGGTCGCTATGAGTCGGAATCGACTCCATGGCACATAACAACAATTACTTTAAAAAAAAAAAAAAAAATGGCAAGAGGACACGAACAGGCAGTTCACTAAACAAGACACTGAGGCAGCCAACCAACATATGAAGAAATACTCACAATCATTAGCCATTAGAGAGATGCAAATCAAAGCACCAATGAGCTATCATCTCATATCAGTATTAACAGCCACGTTCAAAAAAACAAAGGCTGGAGCGGGTGTGCCTTTGGAATATTCGTACACTGCTGATGGGACCGTAACATGGTGCCACTGCTGTGGAGAACACAGTGGCACTTTCTCAGAAAGGGTTGGAATACAAATACCTTATACTCCAGCAATCCCGCTACTTGGTATACATCTTCATGAAATAAGATCTGTGATATGACTAAGTATGTGCACGCCCATGTTCATTGAGCATTGTTCCAAAGAGCAAATCAATGGAGACAGCCTAGATGCCCATCAGCAGAGGAATGACTGAACAAACGTTGGTGCAGGCACGCACTGGAATATTACGCAACATTGAAGAATAACAACGAATCTGCAGAACACCTCACAACATGGATAAACCTGGAGGGCATTATGCTAAGTGAAATTAGTTCATTGCAAAGGGACAGATGCTGTAAAAAGTCAAGAAAAGATCTTCTTCTATAATAAAATTTCTATGATGGTTCCCAGGGAAGTGAGGGAAGGGAGAATTATTCACTGGGTTGAGGGATTCCTGGTGTGAATCTGTGGGTTAATGCACCAGACTGCAAAGCAGTTGGAAATTCAAGGTCAGTGGTTCAAACTCAACGGCTGCTCCTCAGAAACCCTATACAGGCTCACTGTGGTTCAGAATCGACTCGACGGCACTTAACAACAACAATTTGGGTGAGAGGGAAGGAAATAGATTCGTGGGGGAGAAATGGAGTAAAAACATAATGAAATTTTCCTGTGAATTTTCTGAAGTCCACTTGTGCATACTATTGAAAGAAATCATAAGTATTGAAACATTTTTAATACCAGTTTTCATGACCGTTCTCTTTACAACTCAGTCCCAACCAACAAAAGTTACTTCTTATCAATGCTTTAATATATTGCTTCTTCTTTGACCTGCATATTTTGGAAAAGTATCTATTAACTTTCTCCAAGAGGTTGTTGTTGTTAAGTGCCGCTGAGTCAGTTCTGACCCATAGCGACCCTGTACAGGGTTTCCGAGGGTGTAAATCTTTACGGGAGTAGAAAGCCTCATCTTTCTTCCGTGGAGCGGCTGGTAGTTTTGAACCGCTGACCTTAAGGTTCGCAGCCCGATTCGTAACCACTACGCTACCAGAGCTCCTTTCTCCAAGAGGTAGTAGTTCAAAAAGACCAAGGGGATATGGATTGATTGATAATCAGGAAAGGTGTGGGTCTGAGCTGTATGCTTTCATCATACTTACTTAATTTGTACGCTAAGAAGCTAGACCATAGGAATAGGAACATGGCATCAAGACTGGAGGAAGACTCATTAACAGCCCACAATGTGCTGATGACACAGACTTGCTTGCTGAACTCAAAGAGAACTTGAAACACTTTCGGGTGAGACTCAAAGACTATAGTCCTCTGTATGGACTCACAACAGGACCAATAATCAACATCAAGATAAGCAGAGAAAAGCTTGTTAAAGTTGTTAAAGGCTTTCATTTTACTGAGACCCACAATCAATACCCACAGTAGTCATTGTTATTATTAAGTGCTGTCAAGTCAGTTGTGACCCACTGCCTCCCCGTATAGGATTTCCGAAGAGCGACTGGTGAGCTTGAACCACCAACCTCACGGTTCAAAGTGACTTTGCAGTCCAGGGCATTAACGCACAGCGCCACGCCAGGACTCCACTCAGAATAGTAGTGGTGGTGGTGGTTATGTGTGGTGGAGTCGGTTCCGACTCATAGTGACCCTGTATAGGGTTTCCAAGGAGCAGAATCTTTATGCGAGCAGAAAGCGTCATCTTTCTCCCATGGAACAGCTGGTAGTTTCGAACTGCTGACCTTGTGGTTCACAGCCCGATTCGTAACCACTACGCTACCAGAGCTCCTAGAATAGTAGTTGTTGTTGTTAAGTGCTATTGAGTTGATTCTGACCCGTAGCAACCCTGTATAGGGTTTCCGAGGAGCAGCTGGTGAGCTTGAACCACCAACCTTGCAGTTCAAATGGCTTTGCAGTCTGGCGCATTAACCCACAGCGCCACACTAGGACTCCATAAATCAAATTATTGTATTGGGCAAATCTAGTGTGAAAGACCTCTTTCATGTGTTATTAAATAGGCAGAGATGTCACTTTGAGGACTTGTGTGTCTGGCCAAAACCCTGGTATGTTTAATCACCTTACACACCAGTGAAAGCTAAGCAAGGAATATTGACGACTGGACAAGTGTTGGTACGTGTGAATTGTGGTGTTGCCGAAGGATAAAGAACAAACAAACCTGTCTTGGAAGAAGTGCAGACAGAATGTTCCTTAGCTGTAGGGCTTTGTCTCTCATACTTAGGACATGTGATCAGGAGGGACCAGTCCCTGGAGAAGGACATCATGCTTGGTGTGGAGGGTCAGAGAAAAAAAGAGGAAGACCCCCAATGAGATGGATTGGCACACAGCTAGCTGAAACAGTGGGCTTACAGATCATAACACTTGTGAAGATGGTTTTGAGAATGTTTTGCTCTGTTGTACTGAGGGTCACTGGGAGTCAGAACCAACGACACAGCATCTAACACTATAAGACACGTCTGTGGCATTGGCTGCCTAAAATCAGGGGGCAGGCTCTAAAAGCATGAAGTGACTGGCTTACAAGGTTTCAAGAGGGAGTTTAGTTTAATAATGTGTGGGGGAAGAAAGAGTCCCCACTGAGTAGTTTTCATCTTGTCTAGATGGGTCTGGTGAAAAGAGATGGGGGCAAGATTCTTATGATTCAATGATTGTTATCATGACTAATTGTGACTGTCACAACTGTAAAGGTAGAAGTTTTGCAACAAGTAGGGGGGAGTAGTTAATCTTACAGACCAGAAACAGAGGACCCTAGGACCATCAAGGGATAAGAGTACAAGCGGAATGTGGGACCCTATCCAGAGAAGCAGCAATACCAGAGATGGAGGCAGGGATGGGGACATGGAGAGAGGGAGCAGTTGATGACTCTAGACTCATGGAAAGAGAGAGACTGAAAGCTGGTGACTAGGAGACAGGCTTGCAGAATGTGGCCTTTGGTTGTTTGGTGGTGGTTATGTGCCCTAGAGTCCGTTCTGACTCATAGCAACCCTGTACAGGGTTTCTGAGGCTGTAAATCTTTACAGGAGCAGAAAGCCTCATCTTCCTCCTGCAGAACAGCTGGTAGTTTCGAACTGCTGACCTTGTGGTTCACAGTCCAAATCATAACCACTATGTTACCAGAGCAATTATATACTCCTGTGTGGTTTTGTGTACATCCCACCTACCCCCACCCACTCCAAAAAAAGCAGAGGGAATAGAAGCAAAGACTGTCGAATGATGATGTGCAGAGGGGATAGTAATCATTGCAATGAAACAATGAGTGTAAAATCGATGTTCTCCCATGTAAACTATCACTCAATTCACAATAAAAACTTTTTTTAGACAAAGAGAGCGATGTTTGTGGGTGATGCGGTAGGTCATCGAAGGTGTCTTCCAAGGAGATCCTCCACTTACCCACCAAGTAGTCCATCTCCTGCACGTTGTCACCATATAAACCGTGCTGGCTGGTGCCCATGAAGTCCTCTGTGGTCGGAAGAGGGGTATGGACATGAAGAAAGGAGAAAAAGAGCAGGAACGGACCCCCGCGGTTTCTGAAACAGAGAAGACTTTGTCTTAATGTGTATTGTTGTCTCAGGGTTTGTTGTGTGCTGTGGTCGAGTTGATTGCAATTCTGAGAAACACTGTGTGACAGCTTAGAATTGCCCCCCTGGGATTTCCCAGGATGCCAGCTTCCCACAAGCAAGATTACCAGGTTTGTCATCCTTGTACCCACTGGGAGGGGATGCAAGTACCAACCTTGAGTTAGCAGCCACATGCTGCCAGGGCCAGAGTAAAGCAGAGGAAACCCTAAACACCAGTTATTTGGATATGTAAGTTATATATGTATGTGTGTATATATATTTGTTGTTGTTGTTATGTGCCATGGAGTCGATTCCGACTCATAGCGACCCTGTACCGGGTTTCCGAGGCTGTAAATCTTTACGGGAGCAGAAATCCTCCTCTTTCTCCCATGGAAGAGCTGGTAGTTTCGAACTGCTGACCTTGTGGTTTGCAGCCCAATTCATAACCACTACGCTACCAGAGTCCCATATATATATATTTTGTTGTTATGTGCTGTGGAGTCGGTTCCGACCCATAGCGACCCTGTACAGGGTTTCCAAAGCTGTAAATCTTTACGGGAGCAGAAAGCCTCATCTTTCTCCCACGGAACAGCTGGTAGTTTCGAACTGCTGACCTTGCGGTTCACAGCCCGATTCATAACCACTATGCTACCAGAGCTCCAAACACACACACACACACACAGAGGGATATGTATGTGTGTGTGTGTGTATAGGAGTCCTGGTGTGGCACTGTGGGTTAATGTGCCAGACTGCAAAGCCGTTTGAACTACAAGGTCAGTGACTCAAGCTCACCAGCTACTCGTTGGAAACCCTATACAGGGTCACTATGGGTCAGAACCAACTCAATGACACTTAACAACAAGAACGCTATGCTATGCTATGCTATGCTATGCTATGCTATGCTATGCTATGCTATGCCATGCCATGCTATGCTATATACTATGCTATGCTATGCTATGGAGTCCTGGTGTGGCACTGTGGAGAGAAAGTGCTGAACCTCAAGGTCAGTTTGAACTGTAAGGTCGACGGTCCAAACTCACCAGCCGCTCCTCGTAAACTGCATAGAGGATTGCTGTGAGTTGGAAACAGCTCAGTGGCACTTAACAACAACAATAATATATACCTGAGTGTGCATTGTAGCTATGCAAAATGAAACTTCTATTAAAACGCAACTATCACATTAGCACAGAATGCAAAAGTGGATTATGAAATTTTAGTGGAATGAGACTGTTGTTGTTGCTATCATTGTTGGATTTTTAATAGGTTGTTGTTGTTGTTGTGAAGTGCCGTTGAGTCGGTTCTGACCCATAGAGACCCTCTATAGGGTTTCTGAGGAGCAGCTGGTGAGCTTGAACCACCAACATTGCAGTTCAAAAGGCTTTGCAGTCTGGCGCATTAACCCACAGCACCACATACACAGGTACTAAATTTTTTTTTTTTTTGCTATGTGCCATATTTTCTACAAAAAAAAATATTCCACAGATTCTACAAGGTTGATAAAGAAAGTTTAGTCATTTCGACAATCCGTGGGTCTCCCACATGAGAAACTCACTTTCAGTTTTCCTTTGAGTGGCTCACAATTGAACTTTGATGTTGGTTTAGGGGTGAATGCTGTAAATTATAAATGAACACATGAGAATAAAATCAAGCCCTCTGTCCCATGCAGAGGATGGTAAAAAATTGAAATCACTTGATATGAAATTAAATTTTTTTCATGTAGGATACACATTAGTGTTTCCATTTTTTCTGGATGTTTGCTATGTTCATATCATACTAAACTATCAGTCATGTTAATATCATATGAAATGTAGGCTAGATCTCATCTGTGTATGCCAAATGTATTTTAAAGTTAAACTTGTATTTATTATCGCTCACAAAACTCAGGACGTAGCTCTGTATGTAGATGCATTACAGTTAAAAAGTAATTGGATTGAATTCATTGCCATGTTGAACTTATCTGTGTTCCATCAGTTTGTGGTGTCATCTGGACTGGAGTTCCTACTGGTTGTTTAGCAGGACATGCCCAAGAACATATCCTTGTGGGTTTTCTTTATTGACGTTACTGGTCCTTGTGGTTGGAATTTCTGGATCAATTAATGTGAATATACAAGATGGTACCCTCCAAATGGATCAGAAGCCAGTTACCTATTAACGTAGTCTGTCCTTGCCAAATACCTGCTCATGTTGGCTCCAGTTGAGTGTTCGGCAAATGTAGCAAGAGTTAGACTTGACAACGCACACCCTCCTTGTGTTTATTAGAGATAGCATACTCTTAAAAGAGTCAGTGAGACAAAGACCTTCAGTTACATGGAAGGGGACCCTAAGAGACAAATATCAACAAAATGGCACTGGTAGGAAACTCGTAAGTGAAACAACGTTGCGCTTCAGCGTCCCGGTGACCATGCATGAACTGTACTTCCGGCAGACGCATCCTCAAATGCCGAGTTGGTATCGATGTACGTAAGCGCCTTGTCAGTTCTGTTGCAACACTTGCTTTCCCGTGTGAGCGGCCGACTTGACATTTGTACATCTTTGACTTGGATCCGTTTTTTTTGCTGCCCTAAGCACATGCTTGCTTTTCTTTTAGGGTAACCCATCCCTGTCTAGGAGTCCTGGTGTGACATTGTGGGTTAATGCGCCAGACTGCAAAGCCATTTGCACTACAAGGTCGGCAGGTCAAGTTTACCAGCTGCTCCTCGGAAACTCTATACAGGGTCGCTATGGATCGGAACCGACTCGACGGCACTTCACAACAACAACAACAACCCCTGTCTAGGACCGTGTGTTGTGAAGGGTAAGTAGAACGTATTTGTATGCATGCTCATTTCTACTCTAATTCACAGATCTTTAAATCCCTATTTCTTGTTTAGGGAAGCAGAGAACCTGAATACTCTACTCATCAATAATCATTTATTTTAAATATCACTGTTCTACTTAGAAGGAGCCCTGTTGGTGCAAAGGGTTTAAGCACTTAGCTGATAACCAAATGATCAACAGTTTGATTCCACCCGGCGATTCCGCTGGAGAAAGATCTGATGACCTTCTCCCATAAAAATGATAATCTAGGTCTTCCTTTCTTCTCCATTGTGTGAACACTGTTACCTTTCATCATCCCTCTGTCTTCTCAGAAAACTTTCAGGATTAGGAGATTGCTGGCCATGAAATAGAAGCAGGACCGTCCCGTTCTCCAGTGGATTCGAATGAAAACTGGTCTTAAGATCGGGTACATCTCTAAGAGCAATCACCGGAGAAGAGCCAAGCTGGGTCCAGAAGGACTCGCACATGGGATGGTGCACATAATGTGTCGAGGTTCTAACACCCTGCCTCCCATATGAGGCTAGATTTTGCCAAGAGCTTAACAATTGAACGTGTATTGTAGAGCTTGTGGTTTCTTCCTTTGCCTGTATGCTTTTGGTTAAAGAGGTTGCTTAATAAAGATGTGAGACCTTTTTTTAAAAAGAAGAAAAAAAATAAGATCACTGCCTAAGAAACCCTATAGGCACATGGGGTTATCAGGAGTCAGAATCGATTCCAAGGTGACTGTGAGTTAGGATCATCAGTAAGTCACGTAGGGCTTAGGAGAATGAGTTGAATAATGTCTCCCAAAACTCCATGTAGGCCCAGTCTTGTGAATGTGACCTTCTTTCGGATAAGAATCTCTGTGTTGTCTCTGAGTTCTGGGGTATAGAGGCTTTACACAGCAAATCCTGCAATGGTAACACCCCCGTGTAAGGCAGAAAAGCATCAGAGAGGGAAAACTCAAATATTTCCACTAAAGCAAGTGATAGGAAAACGTTAACACTGCAGCCCATCAAAGACAGGAAACTTGCCAGGCCTGGGTCCCATCAAGTTCCAGATGTTGTAAGTGTCCCTGTGCGTGTTTATGTAACACGTTTATACAAGCGAATCCTGGACAGAGAGCCCATGTGAGAAGCTCAATCACACTGCTGAAGACACAAGACTGAAAAGGAGAATGAAGCCTTACTTCTCAATGAAAGACACCGCCTCGTGCAGCATTAGGGAGCCAGCTCTCTGTGCCTTCATGCTCTGCTCTGAGATTTCGTGACCTCGCATAAGGAGGCAATTCCAGTAGAGTTTGGACGAGAGGCTGGAGAACCAAAAGTAGCTCAGGAGGAAGATGAACAGAATCATGCCGAAGATGAGGCTCCAGGGAACGGAGATCCGGCCAGTCAGCTTTCCGGCGGCCAGAGTGACCACAGCCACAGCCACCAGCTGCATGCATAGCCAGAGCTTGTTCCCAATGGACAACTCCATGTGCCGAGACGGGTCCGGCCAGCAAGAAGAGGTGAGTGTGTAAGGCATGCCGTAGTAATAGTCAAAGCCATAGTTCATAGGGTGGTGGCAATGGTCCCATCGAGATTTGCAATTCAAGCCCTGGTGCCATTTGCCTGGGGACAGAGAGAGAAGGAACAGGTAAGATTGTGGAAATGAATATCTTTTCTCCAAAAATTATTAGAATGCTGTTTATTGTATTTGGGCAATGTTTCTTTCTTTTTTTCTTTTTTTAACTACTTTCTGAAGTGAATAAAGACATTATGATCTCTTTTTCTTTGACTACTTCCTGAAATGAGCAGAGACTTTATGAGCTTTCTTTTCCTTTTACTAGTTCCTGAAGTGAGTGGGGACTGTTTGGCTTCTCTTCTACTGTTTACTATTTCCTGAAATGAGAATGTGCACCTTAGAAATTTGAACTAGCCAACCGGGAAATGGAAAAGATTGTGCAGGTCAAAGCCCTAGCCAGTGAGGTGAGACACAGCCTTGAGACTCGCGTCAGGGATTAAAAACCCAAGTGGACTGCCCACTCAGTATGCTCGCTGGCCTGTTCCTGAATGTCCGGCTATGCGCACGTACCCTCTTGCAGGAGTAAATTTTGCTTTGCCAAGGTAATTCAGTCTCACCGAGTGTCTTTTACGTGACGTCGGAATTCATTTCTCACAGTAAGGACGTCATTCTGAGATTGTTTAAGGAGTAGATGTACTTTTGATTTCAGAAATCACTCATTGAGTCGGAAACTTGTTTCTACCTTTTGATCTCCTTACTTTTTTGTTTTGTTTTGATGCCATAATCATTCACACCTTCTACCTGTAAAGTCTGCTTGAAACACATTCACTCTGTATCTTACCTATTAATCCAGTGTGATATCCTTTTGTCTTCAAGATGGCGGCAAATGTGGTCTCATTTCTGGGGAGCCCTCCAGGAACCCCGAGACTAGTGAACACAGCTTTAGAACGATCTACTTTGTTAGAAGCCATGCCTGACAGGGATGCATAAAATCCAAATATTAGAGTAGTTGATGATCTACTGCAGGCACTGACTGCGGTCAACACAGCGGCTTGACTCCCATTGATTAATTCCAAGGTGTTATAACTTCCTGAGATACTGAGAACAGATGCCTTAGCATCTTCATTTAAAAAATAACAGATTCTGACTTATACCCACCCACCCATGTGTGACAGAGAAGCTCTACAGATTTTCCTTCCAGATTTCTGCTGTTGTTGTGGTTGTTAAGTATCATTGAGACAGTTTCAACTCATAGCATCCCTGTCTAGGATTTCTAAGGACTGGCTGGAGAGTTTGAACCACCGACCTTGTGGTTCAAGCTGATCTTACATTCCAGTGCTTTATCCCACAGTGTCACAGCAGGACTCCAGTTAGCAGTCCAATGCTTATCCTACAGGACCACAACAGGACAAATTATCATAGGTACATTTAACATGTGTACATTACATCGTATGTAAATTTTCCTGCTAATAGCAAAAAGGAACCGGTTTAAGTGGTGAAGGATTTAAACGGGAAGTGCAAGGATGCCGGCAATTCGTTTAGAAATGAACAAACAATAAGATACTGTTGGGGACTGCAATCACTGAGATGTTGAGGCCCTGTGTCATGGACGAAAATCCAACACGGTGGCTCCACTCAGAATTGCCAGCCAGGGACCCTGAGGGCCAAAGAAGTGACCTCCTGACATTCCGGGTTCATTGGCTTTTACGAACTCACTGTTGGGCTACCTCTGTATAATTTTCTTTGGTCTTATTATTCATTCTATGCTTCTAACTCCAGTGATTGTAGCTTCTGAGAAAATGGTTTCTTATGTGCCTCTCTTAATGTCTCCACTGTATTGGCAGTGCTTAGGGTCCTGGGAACAAATCTCCCTGAGGAACAAACTCTGGCCCCCTGGCAAGCATGGCAAAACTGTTCTTTATCAAGTTATTCAGTTATGTGTGATATTAACTTAATACATGAGCTCTTAGTATCCATGTACAATATTAATATAAAAACCCCTCCTAAAGCCGAGGCCGCGGGAGAAAGATGAGGCTTTCTACTCCCGTAAAGATTTACACCCTCGGAAACCCTGTACAGGGTCGCTATGGGTCGGAACCGACTCGATGGCACTTAACAACAACAACAAAGCCAAGGCCATAAAAGTTCCGAAAGCAAGTTTGCTGGGATTCCGCAAAGGGGCTCTGGAGACAGTCTACCCAAGGAATTCACTCAAAGTAGATTGGCGAATTCCAGGGTATTGTTCAAGGAATAATAGTGACAGCCTTCTCAAATCGTCCCCAGGTGTAAACCATTAACCTAACTAAGCGTCCTTCTTCCTCCTGCAAGCCTAAGCCAGGTAGCTGAAACAGCTGGATTCCTTCCAGACCTTTTGAATCCTTTTCTCACCTTTACCCATTAGAGATTAAATGCTACAGGTATGTTAATTAGCCTTGAGAAACCTCGAGTGGCTGCCTTGGGATTTGAACCTAAAAAGTAATTTATAACAATTTGCTTGAATTTCTGGAAAATTAAGGATGTTAGATTATTAAGACAATTTGCGATGTATGTTTTAGAATTTGTTCCTGTAAATCATTGTGTCCTGTTTTGAATGATTAATCACATTTCATTTCTGTACCCTGTCTTAATAATCCCCTTCTTCCTTTGTGTAAAATCCCTCCCTGAAATAAAAGACGGACGCAGGCTGAATCCTGCGTGCATTACTGCTTGCGGGGCCATGATGCCTGCAGTCCAGGGTCTGCCTGCCAGTCTTGTATCTACTCTCGTTTTGGGGTGTCTCTTTGTCTCTCTTGTCCCGTCTTTGTGCATACTCTTTTTCTGTCTCTGTCACCGCCAGACCTCCCTGCTTCGTGAACCAAACTTCCCTGTCGAGGCCAGACCCCTCCCTACAAGATACGTGGATAGGTGGATAGACAGGTGATAAATTTTAAAAATCAAGTATAATCATAAAGTCCACTGCCTTCGAGTTGATTCTAAGTCATCGCAGTGATAAGGGATTGGGTAGAACTGCCCCATGGAGTTCCCAAGACAGTCATCTTCATGGGAGCAGGCTGCCTCATCTTTCTCCTACAGAGAAGCTGATGGGTTCGAACTGCCAACATTTTGTACTTCAACTATTCCACTTCTTTTTAAATCACCACTTATGGCTAGCGATTCTGAAACCTCCTTGACAACCCGAAAGATTTGGATCATGACCTTGAGCTGAAAGACAGACGACGCTAGCTAGACCAGAAAGACCAGTCACAGGCCAAGAAAAAATTCAATGACCTCAGAGCTTGGGAAGTTTGTGTCATTACAGTAGATTTGTGAGGTGAGTTTTTCAGATGGACTGAAATAGTCAAGTGAGAAGTATCGCTCTACTCACCTGATCGGACAGGGTACCGACCGGTAAGAAAAGCAGCCCGGCTCGGGGTGCACATGGACTCTGCCGCTATGTTCTGGGTTAGCCTCACACCGTCTCTTGCCAGGCCATCTATGTTAGGGGTCCTAAAACAGAACCAGTGAACAAGAGCAACAGAGATATGACAAGGTATAAATGTTGACAAAAGCAGACGGCTGCACATCTATCACTTGGTCCCACTGTGGTGGCTGACACGCTGCTGTGTTGCTAGAAGCTATGACACCAGAATTTCAAATGTCAACAGGGTTAACAATGGTGGGAAGGCCTCAGAGGAGCCTTCACATCTAGATGTACTGACAATCTGCTGCAGAAAATCAACCAATGAAGACCAACATTCACGAAGATGGCACAGGATCAGACAATGTTTCATTCTGTTGTTCAGTGGTCAACATGAGTCTGAGCTGACTCAACACCAACAACAACATTTTAGGGCACAATAAAATGGGAAGCAAATGGATTCATTACAGAACACATTTGGATGAAAATAACCCAGATCTTATTAGAAATAACACTTCTGACTTTCACCTTTAAGAACAACTTGGAAATCTGTGCTCCATTATATGTATTTCCATATCACTTCAGTCATTTAATCATTTCTTGTCATAAGATGCACAGATAGGTAGATGCATCCAAACATACATATGGAAATAGGTAGGCAGATAGATACATTGATTGACAGGTACTTTAAATGCAAGTATGGACGGATAAGTAGATGATGGATGCATGGGTAGGTGGATAATAGATGAATGGGTAGATGGATGGGTAGGTGGATGGATGGGTAGATGAGGGATGGCTGGATGGATGGGTGGATAGATGGATGGATGGGTGGATGGGTGGATGGATGGATGGGTGGATGGATGGATGTGTGAATTGATGGATGATGGATGGATGGATGTGTGAATGGATGGATGTGTGAATGGATGGATGATGGGTGGATGGATGGATTGATGAGTGAATGGATGGATGGGTAGATGGGTGGGTGGGTGGATGGATAGATGAGTGGATGGATGGATGGATGGATGGATAATGGATGGATGAGAGGATGGATGGATGGATGGATGGATGGTGGATGGTGGATGGTTGATGGAGGGATGCATGGACAGAGGAATAGATACATTGATGAATACCTAGATGGGTGGAGAGAGAAAGAGAGATTGTTGTTGTCACTTTTGTTAGATGCCATCAAGTCAGTTCCAACTCATAGCAACCATTTGCCCAACAGAATGAAACACTGCCTGGTCCCACACCATTCTCACAGTTGTTAGATAGATACACAGACAGATAGACAGACAGATAGATAGATGTGATAGATAAGCAGATAGATAGATAATATATACTCTAGACAATTTTTAAAGAAAGCTTTTCAAGCAAATGCCTATTTGTGTATTTAAGAAACAATGCCAAGACAACCCTGTTTAGCAATTCAAAGTTCTCGACAGTTTCACAAACATTTTTTATGAGCCAAGTGTTCAATTGCATCCTCATTAAATCATTAGCGTAATCACGAGCCAAAGGCAGGAAGAATGCACATGCCATTCTATTATGCCTGTGATGACATTTCAGATTTGCTCCTTAAGTCTACATTTCTAAAAGATATTGTGCTTAATACCTTCTGAGATCAAACTCATACCTCATCGTGTAATTACCATAGCAACCAAGGTCACCAATCCCAAGATCATCCGCCATTATCAGTAAAATATTCGGCCGGGGGTCCATCACCTCGGTTGACACACATGTTTTCAAAACCAGAATTAGCGTGAGCAGAGATACTGGATGGTTCCTGAAAAGCACAAGAAAGGACTGTTTGAGATGAGATCCACCATCAGCATTTCAACGTCACAGTTGAGGAGATTCTCTCCTGGTCCAGGGCACAGCAAGCTTCCAACTTGTGTTTCTAAAGGCTGACTTTCCTGGTATTAAGAGACTGGCAAGCCAACAAGTGTCTCCAATGTCATCTCCTGACACAGAACAGAAGGATCACTTCCGTATGTCCTGAGCCATGCAATTATTTAAGGAACATTTGCCATTGTGTGGATCAGAGACATTGTTTCAAGTGTGAGAAAACCTCAAGAGAGAAGACAGCAACTTAATGCCATGCCTAAATTGATACTAGAACTTTTTTATCTTCTCCTTCTTCTTCTCCTCCACCTCCTCATCCTCCCGCTCCTCTTTGTTCTCCTCCACCCACTTCTTCTTGTTGTGTTCCATAGAGTTGATTCCAACTCATGACAACCCTATATAGCAGAATATAACTGACCCCATAGAGTGTTATTTACAGTGACATTATTGAAGCAGATCACCAAGTCTTGATTCCATAGTGCAGCTGGGTGGGTCTGAATCACCAGTCTGTTGGTTAATGACTGAGTGCTTAACCAGTTGTGTCACCCAGGGAATCCAGAACCTTCTAAAGGTAGACATATTCTTTGGGAGTGGAGAAAAAGAGAGAAAGTGAACTTGGTTCTTTCCTTTTAAATTTCCTCAGTACCTGACCTTGGAATGTCCCATTTTTGTAAGGCCAAGAATTCAGAATGTTTTCCTAAATCCAGGAGATGGATTCTAACACTCAATACTACAAAATTGATGAACACAGCGTACAAGCCACATAACAACCTGTAAGAATATCATATAAAGGTCCCAACATGAGTATGGTCAACACTTTATAACCAGGAGAATCTCCACTTCAGGATGCTGTCAAATTGTTACAACAACTTGGTCAAAAAGGAAGCATGGTGGGATGTGTTTCCATGGCATATCCTTCCATACCTAGCTCAAATATCTCCTGTTCCACAACACCTTCTGCCATGTGGAATTACCATTTCCTCTGTAGAAACTCCACTCAGATTCTAATGACTCCATCACTCAGTCTCATGCTTCATTCTAATGGATGTCCTCCAAGGACAGTAGATGTTTGTGAAACAAAGAACTGCATCTTATCAATCTAGTTTCCTCTTATACCTATCTCCATGCATGGCTTATGGAAAATTCATACTTGTTGTTGTTGTAGTTGTGAGGTGTAATCAAGTCAGTACCAACTCATAACAACGTTATGCAAAACAGAACCAAACACTGCCTGGTCCAACACCATCCTCACAATTGTTGTTACGCCTGACCACATTGCTGCTGCCACTGTGCCAATCCATCTCGCTGGGGGATCTTCCACTTTTTTCTCTGACCTTCCACATTACCAAACACGATGTCCTTCTCCAGGGACTAGTCCCTCCTGATGATAGGTCCAAAGTATGAGAGACCAAGTAAACCATCCTGGCTTCCAATGATCATTCTGGCTGTACTTCTTCCAACACAGATTTCTTTCTCTTTTGGCAATTCATGGTACTTTCAATATTGTCCTTCAACACCATAACTCAAATGCATCAATTCTTCTATGGTCTTCTTTATTTATTGTCCAACTTCCACATGCATATGAAGTGATTGAAAATACCATGGGTATTCACAGTAAGCACATGCAAAATTAATCAATAGTGGTGGTGGTGTGTCATGGAGTCGGTTCCAACTCACAGCAATTCTGTATCTATGGTTTCCGAGGCTATAAATCATTACGGGAGCAGAAAGCCTCATCTTTCCCTGCAGAACAGCTTATAGTTTCAAACTGCTGACCTTGAACTTAGCAACCCAACTTATAGCCACTATGCTACCAAAGCTCCTTAAATCAAT